ACGAACATCATCCCCTTTCTTTTTTTTCTTCCCATCCCTCTTTCGTCATCGTATCTTGACTTTAGTGCCGGATCAACGCGCCGATAATTGTGGAGAGTCTTCGCCAATTCCACCGAGGTGAAACGTACCCTATACGTGATTACCCATTTAAGAGGTAGGAAGATTGGCTATTTAAGCGCATTGACTCTGTGTGTGTGTGTGTGTGTGTGTGTGTGTGTGTGTGTGTCTCGTAGAAAAGAAATCAGTTTCTTTCGTTTTATTTTCAGGGGTAATTGCGACGATGTTTCCATTTTCCGAACAAGTTTAATTATTTGTATATATAAAAAAAGTACTACGATTGATATGGTAATAGGTACCATACCAACCGTTACCACAATAACGGATACTACAGTAAAGGTTGCCATAGTAAGTAACGGTTACTACAGTAACTGTTACTGCAGTTACGGTTACCACAGTAACTTTTACTTCAGTTACGGTTACAACAGTAACTGTTACTACAGTTACGGTTACTACAGTAACGGTTACCAAAGTTAGTTACTGTTTCTACAGTAACTGTTACTTCAGTTACGGTTACTGCAATAACGGTTGCCATAGCAAGTAACGGTTACTGCAGTAACTGTTACTTTAGTTAGGGTTAATACATTAACGGTTGCCATAGTAAGTTACGGTTATTACAGTAACGGGTGCCATAGTAAGTAACGGTTACTACATAGTTACGCTTACTGCAGTTACGGTTACTACAGTTACGGTTACTGCAGTATCTGTTACTTCAGTAACTGTTACTTCAGTTACGGTTACTACAGTAACTGTTACTTCTGTTACGGTTACTACAGTAACTGTTACTTCAGTTACGGTTACTACAGTAACTGTTACTTCAGTTACGGTTACTACAGATACTGTTACTTCAGTTACGGTTACTACAGTAACGGTTACCAAAGTTAGTTACTGTTTCAACAGTAACTGTTACTTCAGTTATGATTACTGCAGTTACGGTTACTACAGTAACTGTTACTTCAGTTACGGTTACAGTTACGCTTACTGCAGTTACGGTTACTACAGTAACTGTTACTTCAGTTACGGTTACTACATAGTTACGCTTACTGCAGTTACGGTTACTACAGTAACTGTTACTTCAGTTACGGTTACTACAGAAACTGTTACTTCAGTTACGGTTACTACAGTAACGGTTACCAAAGTTAGTTACTGTTTCTACAGTAACTGTTACTTCAGTTATGGTTACTGCAGTTACGGTTACTACAGTAACTGTTACTTCAGTTAAGGTTACTACAGTAACTGTTACTTCAGTTACGGTTACTACAGAAACTGTTACTTCAGTTACGGTTACTACAGTAACGGTTACCAAAGTTAGTTACTGTTTCTGCAGTAACTGTTACTTCAGTTATGGTTACTGCAGTTACGGTTACTACAGTAACTGTTACTTCAGTTAAGGTTACTACAGTAACTGTTACTTCAGTTACGGTTACTACAGATACTGTTACTTCAGTTACGGTTACTACAGTAACGGTTACCAAAGTTAGTTACTGTTTCTACAGTAACTGTTACTTCAGTTATGGTTACTGCAGTTACGGTTACTACAGTTACGGTTACTACAGTTACGCTTACTACAGTAGTGGTTGCCATAGTAAGTAACGGTTACTACAGTTACCGTTACTATAGTTACGGTTACTACAGTTACGGTTACTAAGTAACTGTTACTTCAGTTACGGTCACTACAGTAACGGTTGCCATAGTAAGTAACGGTTACTACAGTTGCGCTTACTACAGTTACGGTTACCACAGTTACGGTTACTACAGTAACAGTAACCACAGTTACCACAGTAACGGTTTTCATAAAAATAGATGCTACAGTAACGCCTATACCAAAGTAATTACAGCAATAGTTACTACAATAGCGCAAGTTACCACAGTAAGTAACAGTTACCGCAGTAACGAATGTTACAGTAACGGTTACTTTCTTAGCGGTTACCATAGTAACTATTACTTTTCCAACGGTTACTGTAGCAACCGTTACCATTTCCATAGCAACTGCTACCATGACAAGTGTTACCATAACCGTTTTTTTTTTTTTGCTTAGCAACCGTTGCTAAGAATTTTTTCCTTAGCAACGGTAATAATTTGATTCAGCTAAATAATCTTTTGGTTGATACAAATAAAATTTTTTTTTTAATAGAAATGTATATTTATTTGGTTGACATATATATAGTATAAAATTTTCAAAGTATTTTCATTTGCATTTTGTTGATGTAAATCACGTATAGTGGAAATGATAGCCTTTAGGTATTCAAAGCGAATGCAAGCTCAAGGAAATTGATGTTGCGAATTTCTTGCAAGAAAAGGGATCAGTACCTTATAGAATATATATAAGGAGGAGTTAAGGGGATAGTAGTAGTTGGCAATATATATATATATATATATAGTATATACATGAAAGAAAGATGTCAGGCGCCATGGCGCCATTATATGGCTTTGGCTTTATGACATCAGAAAAGAGAGGACACACACGATCCTTTTTCTGGATGAAGGGATATATGTGTCCCCAAACGAATGATTAGACTCGCCATTGTTGTTTTTCAAAAAAAATTCTTATCTTTTATCTTTCGGTCACTGAAAAAACGAAACTAAATTTTCTAATATTTTTTTTTTTTTCAGTGTAAAAAAATGCAGTTTTTAAACAAAAATATTTTAAGATTATACTATCCTTTTTTTGGTTTAAATAACGTGATTTTGTAAAACATTGCATATATATATATACTATGAAATAATTCATGTTGTTTTTTTTTTACATTATTTCCCATCGTTTCAAGCGATGGTTAAATATATATATTAAACAAATAATAATAGAGGTGAAAATAATGAAAAATAAAAGAGAGAATGAAGAAATAAAAAAAAAGGAATAAATATATAGAAAAACAAAGAGTATTAAAAAATATTGTTAGAAATTATATATATGAATTTTTTATATATATGATGTAATGTACAATTTTTAAAAAGTTGTATGAAATTTTAGAGTAAATTCTCTGTATATATATATATATATAGACGGAGAACGCAACATTGAGATGTAATGGGAGGTTCGTTAAACATAAGAAAGACATTTCCAAACCCATAAACATAATTTGAATTCTCTTTGTCTCCTTTTATAAAAAATAAGCAGACAGTAATCATGTCCTTAGGGGGTGATAAAATAACAGCCAACATGCAAGGTGGGTGTAATAATATTATATATATATATATTCTCACACTTTTCATATATATATGATATATTCGTTGACACTTCTTTTTTCTTTTAAAACACACACAATGTATTGTTATCTTTTAAAATTCTTTTCATAAAAAAAAATAAAGAAAAATCGCCAAAAAGAAGAAGAAGAAATTTCAAATTTTTTCACTGAAACTAATTAATAATAATCGTTTTTTCGATATGCCAATAAAAATAGAAAAAACTTTTGTTTACCTATAAATATTTTCTTCAACTATTCGCTGTTACAAATAAATTTTTGTTTTCTTAAAAATTATAAATAAAAGAATACATTAGAAAATATAACTGGCGTAATCTAAAATGACAAAATTGTACAAGAAGCGCGATTTTTTTTTTAAAAGCAAAGAAAGTTGAATATATATATATATATATATATATATATCGTTCTTGACACAAAAACCACTTAGAATATATCGCATATATACTATATAGAGCCTCCTGAAAGCTATACTCTCTTATCTTTATCACTATCAGTAAAATTGGAACTGTGTGTGACATTTGAAAATGGAATAGCATGCTTGACTCATTCGAGAGTCGATAACACCATACTATACACCGCAGCATCGATATTTTGGCGCTTTAACTTTTTTTTTTTTTTTTTTTTTTTATCAAATCAACATTTCCTTGTCAGTGTATATAAAGGATATATATTCGAAAGGATCAAGAGAGAGAAAGAGAGAGAGAGAGCCACTCCTATAAAGATATATAATACACGAGAATATCGTGGGCGAATAACATTGGCTCTCATTCTCAACCACTTTCGTAACCCTGAAAATACATATACATATATATACTCTCACAAACTAAGAATTCGAGTATACATGTTTATATCTCCATAAGTGCTGCTTGCATTCCTATACAGTTAACATATATATCCTTAAGGGCATATCGAGGAGAGGATTGGAGCGGCAACAGGATGCAGATAATCCGACTCTGTTTATACCACTTCACTATATATATATATATATATATATATATATATATATATATATATATATATACATATATATAGAGAGAATGATGAAGGAATGAAAGATTCAAGGAGAGTAAAGCAGAGACAAAATCTAAGTTATTTCTCCTCGAAAAAGTGAGAGAGAGAGAGAGAGAGAGACTTAAATATTTTTTTTTTCCTTTTAGAGAAACTCAGCCGGACTTTGCCACTCCTCGTGCGCGCACATAATGACCTTTAAGCACTCGTTATTCTTGCGCGCGCGTTTATAAGAAACCTCTTCGCGAGCCGGAAACGTCACGGATTATAAATTTCTTTGTTATGAACCCGCCCTCTGAATTTCCTCAAGGCGTTTGCCTGTGAATTTTTTTTTTTTTACAAAGTGAAACAAGAAGAAGAAGAGATGGAATCATGTGTTTACAATTATTTTTTAAGCATACACCCCAAAAAACCTCAGGCGTTTATATATTATTTTGCCAATATTACTTTATTTAAACAATAATATGATTAACTAATATGATTATGTAATTAAGGATAGGAATTTCTTTTCTATAATTTGTATACTTTTCTCAAAATATGTTTTCGTAATTGGTATCGTGGTATCTGTAGTGGATTTGTAACAAGAAGGTGTGGGTTTGTTTTCTTCGTGTTATACGAAGAGTTACTATGGTAACCGTTGCTATAGTAACCGCTTCTATATGGTAACCGTTGATATAGCTATTGGTTACTATGGTAACTGCTATACGAAAGTAACCATTTCTATAATAACCATTACTGTATGGTAACCGTTACTATATAGTAACCGATAATTTCTGTGGTAACCGTTATTGTAGTATCCGTCACTGTCGTAACCATTACTATGGTAACTGTAGTTACTGTTACTGTAGTAGTAACCGTAACTGTAGTAACCGTAACTGTAATAACTGTAACTGTAGTAACCGTGACTGAAGTAACTGTTAATGTAGTAGTAACCTTGCTACTTATAGTAACCGTTACTGTAGTAATAGTTACTTTAGTATCCGTTACTGTAGTAGTAACCGTAACTGTAGAAACAGTTACTGCAGTAACCGTTACTGTAGGAACAGTTATGGTAATAACCGTTACTGTAGTAAACGTTACTGTAGGAACAGTTATGGTAATAACCGTTACTGTAGTAACCGTAACTTACTATGGCCACCATTAGTGTAGTAACCGTAACTTACTATGGGAACCGTTACTGTAGTAACCGTAACTGAAGTAACAATTACTGTAGTAACCGTAACTGAAGTAACAATTACTGTAGTAACCGTAACTGAAGTAACAATTACTGTAGTAACCGTAACTGAAGTAACAATTACTGTAGTAACCGTTACTTACTATTGGAACCGTTACTGTAGTAACCGTAACTGAAGTAACAATTACTGTAGTAACTATAACTGTAGTAACCGTGACTGAAGTAACTGTTAATGTAGTAGTAACATTGCTACTTGTAGTAACCGTTACTGTAGTAACAGTTATTATAGCAACCGTTACTGTAATAGTAGCTGTTACTGTAGTATCCGTTACTGTAGTAGTAACCGTAACTGTAGAAACAGTTACTGTAATAACCGTTACTGTAATAGTAGTAGTTACTGTAGTATCCGTTACTGTAGTAGTAACCGTAACTGTAGAAACAGTTACTGTAGGAACAGTGACTGTAGGAACCGTTACTGTAGAAACAGTTACTGTAGGAAAAAAGGTAATTGTATTAGTAACTATAACTGTAGTAACAGTTACTGTAGTAATAGTTACTGTAGTAATAGTTACTGTAGTATCCGTTACTGTAGTAACAGTTACTGTAGTAACAGTTACTGTAGTAACAGTTACTGTAGTAACAGTTACTGGGGTAGTAATCATAACTGTAGTAACCGTTACTATAGCAAATAGTAGTGTGTAGAAACAGCTAGTTACTATATAGTGACCGTTGCGATCCAAAATATTTGTATGGTAAACGTTGCCATCCTAAATTTTATTATAACCGTTGCTATACGATATAGACCACAAACAGATAGACAGACGAATGGATACGAGAGCGCGCAGGCAAATGTATATTCAATAACATTTTAATATAGTTCTGATCTTATTTCGAGTCATTTATTATTGTTAATTTCATTGAGAAATAATACTCTTAATAAGGCATTTAAAGGTATTATTGGTACATTATAAATAGAGATAAAAATAGGACAATAATTTTTAAATGTTACTAATATATATATTTTAGAGATTTAACCAGAAGAAAAATATAAAATGGCACTATAAAAAAAATAAATACGATTCTATTAATTATTATATAGAGGAGTAAAATTATAAATTACTTTAATTTATAAATATTGAAAAGTGTGTCAAAATAGTTACTTTAGTTTGAAAATTTAACAGAGGGGGAGGATTAAACAACTTATAATGGGAGGGTTAAATTTTCCCTCCAAAAAAAAATGAATGATCTCTTATTTGCGTACACGGAGATTAAAAAAAGGAAAAAGTTTCTTTAGAATAAAATTTCTATACTATATATCCTAAACTCAATTTGTCCAAATAGCCCGCGCGTACAACTCTAAACGAGGAATATGTATACCATATCTAATGACTCCTGGATTTTATTACACCTATATGCATATATATACATTCGGCAACGTTAGTATATAAAGCACGCAAGAGGGTTCTCGCATTTTTTTGTTTTTTTTTTTTCACCAGGAAAATTACATTTTCAATCCGTTGGGAACTGGTATATAGTGTCATTAGTGCAAATGTCCTTTCTCTTTCACACACAAATTCGAAATTCACCCCAAAATGAAGAGGCCGAGTAGATAACCATTGCGGATCCCTTTGGAGTTTTCCCTCTGCTCACATATATATATATATATGTATTGCATGTGTGAGAGCTACAATGGCAAAGTGCGGTTTTAACCCTATCCCGCATATATCGAAGTTACCCTCGGAACAATAACTTTGGACTGGGCGCGCGTAGAGGTATGGCCCGTAAAGGGGTCTCTGTATTTAATTTACTGAATAATTGGAATCAAGCTGCCTCATTTGTGTGCTGGCCGGACGAGAGAATGCCATAGTATACATATATATATATATATATATATATATAGGGAAAAGAGAGGAACGAGGGAAGGTGAAGGGAAAATGTTGGGAAACCGCCCTGTGCAATTTCCAACCCTCCTCCTCTCAACCCTCCCCCGGGATTCATGTCGGGAGGTGGGCGCGTACGGATCCTGCGGGAGCCTGATGAGGAGATTTGTGCGCGCTCATAAAACCACCTACCCATCCAGTTTCACCTCTTCCATTTCCCCTACCCCAAAAAGTTGCTCTCTCTCTCGATCTCTTTCTATCTCTCACCCCTTTAGCTCGCGAACGTTACTCCCACCCAACGGGGGTGAATAAAGATGGCCAGATAATAGGACAAGGGTGGGATTACTGAGGCGCTGGATTGGCGAATATATAGAGGGATAGAGAGAGAGAAAGAGAGAGATCCTGGATTAAATAAGTAGAGAGTTTCAGCTGGGATCTCTCCCAGGTTGGTAATACTGCTGTGTGTGTGTGTGTCTCCTCTGCGAGGATGGTACAGGCGTAGATGAACTCATGCGTGTATGAGAATGTATAGGAGACACAAGATATCCAACCAGTTCTATATATAGAGAGAGAGAACGAAGGGGATTGGCGCGGGGTAATGTGACTCGCGCATGCGCACTTTTGTTACAAGGAAATCGATGGCCGCTTGCTTCGCTGCTGCTTTTTTTTCTGCTCCATAGTTTAGGTGTGTGTGTGTATGTCTATCTATGTGTTTGCATTTCCATGTATATGTACATCTATGTGTATGTATGTTTCTAAGTATGTATATATGTATGTATGTAAGTATGTATTTGTGTATATATGTATGTGTTTGTGTGTTTCTCTGACGACAGTGGTGGACTGAGAGAGGGGAATTCAAAGGATCTGGACAAGATGAAGAGGCGCGGTGGGGATGTGATTCCAGCAGATGCAGTAGAAACTGGACCCACCTTTCTCGAGCATTTAAAAAAAAAAAGAAAAAGAAATTGCCATCCTCTTTTTGTATAAAAAAAATTTTCTTATCACTTAAATATATAATTTATAATCTCTTGCAATTTTAGTTACTTTCAATATATGGCTCATTATAATGGAGTATTTTGCTTCTGTAATTAGTAAAAAATAACCTAATTATTAGTTGAGAGTAACTAATTTTCAATGGAAAAATAATTAATAACTCATAAGTAACTAAAAAATAATAATTAATAAGTAACTAATAATACCTAATATATATAACTCATAACTAAAAAATAATAACTCATAAATAACTAACAAATAACTAAAAAATAATAACTCATAAATAACTAACAAATAACTAAAAAATAATAACTCATAAATAACTAACAAATAATAACTCACAAGTAACTATAAGATATAATAACTAATAAGTAACTAATATATAACACATAAGTAACTCATAATAACTAATAAGTAACAATTCATAAGTTAAACTAATAAATAACTAAAAAATAGTGACTCATAAGTAACTAAAAAATAATAACTAATAAGTAACTAATAAATAACTAATCAAACAATAACTAATAAATAAATACAAAAAAATAACTAATCAAACAATAACTAATAAATAAATACAAAAAAATAACTAATAAATAAAAGAAATAATTAAAAATAAAAGGTGGAAATAATAAAAAAATAAATAACGAATAATTAAATTAGTTATACAAGAAATTTTAGTTATTTTAATATAAACAAAAAACGAATTGAACTATGCGCAATTATTTGTACCATAAATTGAGATTTAGAAAGAATATAAATTTTATCCACAATAACACCTCTTCTTATATATATTAGCTTAAAAAAATATCTCGATTGCGAGAAAAACGCGAGCGACACCTATGAGTCGACGATCGAATTAAAAATTATACCCGCCGAAGAAAACTCCAATTTAATTGGTCAATTTAAAAAAAAAAAAAAAAAACCGTTTCACTTTATATTTACTCGCTGACAAAAGTTTAAATTTTCTTTTTCATGAGAATTTTTCTTTTTTTATCATTTCTTTTGTCAACTTTGAAATATATATGTGCTTTTTTTTTATATAAATATACTTTACTTTTTCAATTGTCCCCTTTATTGTGAAAAAAGTAACATATATTCAATCGTTATGAAAAAAATAAGAATTATGACTTTGATGGAATTTTTCCCAAAAAAAAAAAAAAAAAAGAAAGGTTTCCACTCAGTGGAGGGACAATGGGATATGCAAGAGGATTTTTGAAAAGCTACGAGAAACTTGGAGAATTTATATTATATATATATATATATATATATATATATATATAGGAGAATATAATATGAGAAGGGATCATCCAAGATTGCTGCGCGCGGGTAAAAAGGAAGAAATTCATACCGCACTTGGGTGGTCCGGTTTCTTCAACGCTGCGCGCACAGAGTGAAGCTTAGGCTTTATTCTTTACGATCTTGATTATGAAATTCAACGCATTTTATGACCCGAGATTCGCAAGGTCCTCAGAAAAAGCTTTTCTGATATCCCAAAAAAACTATTCGGGACTAGATTTTCCTCATATATAGAGAAGACATTAAATTGTTTTTGATTAAATCATATATATACAGGAAAAACAAAGTCTTATTTTAACACCAGAATTAGTGTTAAAAAACAAATTTAACTCTAAATCTGGGTTAAATCTTATATGGGTTTTAGCATTGGAGAAAATTACCCGCAACAAAAATAACACCAGCTTTTTTTCTGTGATATATATATAGAAAAAAATTAAAATTTCACGGAAAAAAAAAAATATTTACCTGGGACAGCGAAAGATTTTCCTAAGAATAGCAAAAGTTTTAATTATTTTAGCTAAATCACATAAAAAATTATCATTTTTTAGTTGCAAAATTCAAATATTTTTTAAGAGAGAGAGAAAGAAAGTGAAAAATTGTATTAAAATTTTTCAAAAATCACAAGAGAATGTAATATATATATTATAATTTTCGACTATATATGTTTTAAAATAGAAAAGCAAAAGACTTGAATTTGAAATAAACTTTTGCATTATAATTTACAGTTTCAACGTTGTTCCACTTCTCCTCAATGTTATAGAGCAAGGTAGCATTAGAAAATTGCTATATATATATACCAAGCAATTTTCTTTCCAAGATTTTTTGCCATAGTCGCGCACAATATGTAATTTACACTTCATTACTAATTTTTTTTTTTTTCAAATTTTTTAGCTTTCCCTATAATATATAAAATGTCATCATGTTTTTATTTAAAAAAAAATTTCTTCAAAAACAATCTAAATATATATACTATATCAGTATTTTAGCAAAAATTTACCAAAAATTTTAGTTTTAAAAAAAAATGTTTCTGCAAAATTTTTTTTTTTTTTTTATATATATAAACTAATTTTTAAAGTGTACTAAAGGTTATTTCAAGGTTACAAGAAATCAAAATCATAATATATTTTTATCGTTGTTAACGCTCGTTAAAAAAAAAGCCATAAAAAAGTTAGCAATAAAAATGTGAGATAATACAAAAATAACTATTGGGATTTATATACAAAACACTTTCTTTCAAATTGTATATATATATATATATATAAACAAAATTTTTTTTTTTTTTTTAGAAAAAAGTATATTATATAATACAACACAATGTACAATATAAATATTATATATATTTTTCATAGACCTTGAGAATTTGTCAATTTTTTTTTCTATTATGTCAGAATTATGTTCTTTATGGTCACTATTAAATGTTACGACAGACATCAATGTATTTTAAAGGCAATCACTCTATTTTCTCATAAGTTGCCACTTATGAATAATTTATT